TATGTATGTATGTATGTATGTAATGACTGTAATGACTGTAATGTATGTCATGTAGGTCATGTAATGTAAGTAATGTAGGTCATGTAATGTATGTAATGTATTTATTTCGGCATGTAGGTACGTATGTGCGTATGTGCATACGCAGGTAGGTGGGTATGTATGTATGTCTTAGCAAGGCAAGACTTAGCATTGCTCGAAGAGGCACTAATCCCCATCCTCCGAGAACATAGAGTCAGAGATGTAGGGCTGCGGCAAGCTCTGTGCCATTGTTTGGGTTTGGTTTGACCAAGCGCCGCTGTCTCGGGTCCTTGGAAGATCTTTGGAAGTTGCAGCATTTGGTGTTCGACTGCCAGGGGGGAGACTTGAGAGTTTCGGATAGCACAACAGGAACCTCTGCTCCTGCTGGACCAAGGTTGCCACCACAGAGGCCTCCACAGGAAACCGGCTGCATCCGCCAGGCCTGGGGTTGCTGTGGGTCCAGAAGCATGTGGACTTCGCAGGATGACGACCTTCTGGGGCATTTTCACCTATGCTGCGATCCCATCGGGATTCGTTGTCATGCTCCTGCTGCTCAGCGACATCGCCTTCCTTATGCAGGTCTCAGCTACCCTGTTGGAGCTTGACGGTGTTGATGTATAGCTATAGCTCTGGTTGGACTCATTCTGCCAGTCAGGTGGCCTCAAAGGTCATGCGCGCACCCTCGCCAGTGACGCTGGGCAATCTTCGGCTAAACGTCGCCGTGCTGATGACAGCCACATGGCGCTGACATCATGAGGAGCTGACCGCTGGAGGAAGGGCCCCGCTCTGATGTAAGGCTTTCTGTGGTATCCTCACAGTGATCACTTACGCAAGCCGCCGCCTCAGCCGAGCCGCCCAACTTCACTCACTCCGCACGTCCGTCACGCCGTATAAGGTGTGCAGCGCGCGCAGGCCAAGACGCAGAAGATCGGTGCCTTGGAGCGAGAGATGCTTGGCTTGCATGGTCTTTGGTGTCGCATCATGGTGCTGGCTCGATAATTGTTCAGGGTGCGCTCACAGCTAAACCCAGAACCTCGAACCTGTTCTACGTGGAGCGGAACTACTGGCTCTCGATCCTGGCCCTGACGATTTGGGTCACTTCCTGGAGACTCGAGGCTTCTTCGGGCCCGAAGCTCCCATGTAAGTGCTTGTGGCGCTTCATCAGAAAGTTGCGTGAAAGCGCCCGCGGTCGATTCGGCACCGATGCAGTGTGAGTGGTGGGTTTTAAACTGCGTTTTGCACAGAGCGACACCGCGAAGCTGACACCGATCTCCCGAGCTGACATCAGGTTCTGTACCGGGAGCGTCCACACCGTCCGGCCTTTGCGCTGAACTTGAGGCGAGGCCCCAAATGCAACACCATATGAGTTCTGCATATGGAGCTTTCTTAGCTGCAGTTGCTACTAGAGTGCACCTGAGGCCCAGCAAGGCTTTGTGGATCGGGCAGCTTGGCAAACACGGTAGGCTGTAGCGCTTCTCAGAAAGCCCAGACACCACAGTCTGCTACAAGCCCGATTGCATGTGGCCCCTGTGTGACATGTAAACATGTCGCATGCCTACATGAATCTGGGATGTGTTTCGGTGCAAGCAGGTGCAGAATGCAGGCCATACCCCGGTACATAGGCTTCACTGGTTGTTTTTGGATATATCAGTTGTGTTGCTGACTCTATTCGCTACATGCAAGCTCGAACTCATGCGTGGGTGCAGCTAGGGACGCATGGAAGCCTACGTATGCCTGCCTTGATGCCTGGATATGAGTGCAGTGCAAGCTCAGGGCACGGATGTGTTGCGCGGAAATTGCACGCAATCATGCAGGAATTCCTTCTGACAGCGTGCGAGCTGCGCGGAGTTGCAAAACCCGTCGTTGATCGCCTTGCAGCTCGCCCTGTGTTTTTCAAGGCTTGGCGTCGCCGCGTTACTGGTGGCGGATTTGCCGCAGCTTCGCCAAATGGCTGGCGACTGACAACGCCTGTGTAGTGTAGAACGGCTGATAGACTCAGGCTGTGCCGGCTGAATTACCAGTTCCAGATCTACTCGTATGTCACGCCGGGCAAGGACACGGGCCCAGGAGTTGGATTTAGGAGGATCAGCAGTGGCTGTGACGGACATACAGGACAATCTGCAGGCCTCGCCGCTTGCAGCCGAGTGCAACGGTGTCTACGCGAGCGAAGGGGGCAGGTGCCTTGACACTATGCAGAGGCCGTAGTTCTTAAATCCATCGTCATCTTCGAATCTCGGGATGGCCTCGGCAAAACAAGAACATGCTGGGTGCATGTTCTGTCTAGGGTCGCCTTCTCGGCTTGGGCTCCGTCCCTTGGCGTAGTACACGAACCGCAAAGAAAGAGTTCTCAGGATGAGAAGATGGAACTCTTCGTTATCGTAAGTGCCCCGCACTGCCCCGAAGTAGAAGAACCTCAGCTTGCATGTCACGCCCGTCAGCCCGAAGCCCCGACGTCGCGTGGAGTTTGAGTTGCGAGCATCACACCTAAGGTGCAGCGAGTTTTGTCAACAAGTGCGGTTTCTCTCAGAAGAACGCCTCGCATCGGTGCATTTCGCTCCCTGGCTTTCCCAGCCATGACCGGCGTCGGCACGGCGGTTTGGAAGGTAGCTCTGTGCATAAATTCATCAGAAATCGTTGTCTTTGAGGACATGTGGTTATATCTGACTAGGCTTTATGGAATCTTTATGGCTTTGTTGGCAAATTCCGATTTTTCACTGCTGAGATGATAAGTTGTGCAATCGCTTTTCGCAGTGCTTGCAGCAGTTGACACGAAAGGGTTTTGCAGCTCTTGCACTCATGAGAACCGCGAGAATCTCAAGACTCATGACCTACACACCCGAAAGACCTGTTGTAGGTGCACCTGCGAGTTGAAATCCTAGGACTCTATAGGACGTCCCTAGGACCTCCCTAGGACCCTAGGAGCTTCTACTCTTAGGCCCGCAAGTGGCATGTCCTCGGCCGATGGTCTGCAGAGGCTCCCGCGCAGGGTTGATGTCGGGTCCGGCTGGGCAAACCCACAGCCCCAACCCCCAATTAGGGTTTAGGGTTGAGGGTTTATGGCATACACTGCAAGTCCGTTCTTAAAAAAAAGGGTTTAGGGCCTTTAGGGTTTAGGGTTGAGGGCCTTTAGGGTTTAGAGTTTAGGGGGTCTCAAAATGGCAGAGGAACGCTTGGCCGTGCATCTCCAGTCGAGGTCTTCGACATGGCGCGGGATGTACAGCAGGATTCCAGCCATGTGAGCCAACTCTTTCAAAAGAAGACCTGCGTGGACGTCCTGCTGCCCGGCTGCAGTGGTGAGGTTCGGTGGTCTGCAACTCTTGCAATGGTGAGCATGTGTTCAGAAACGGCTCCTCTGGCCCAGTGCCCACATGCAGCATGAGGGGCTCACAAACCTGAAGCGCGCCGCTAGAAGCCAAAGTTTCCTCACGGAAGAGATGAAGAGCCACGCAACGCTCCAGGTTTGCAGAAACAGCATGCTTGTTTCCGTCGTTGGTGTCAGCTGTGCTATGCACTAAGGAAAAGCGTTGACAAGAGCAACGACATGGTCAATGCTTTCTGCCTCGTCCTTGCAGGAGTAGCAGTGCTGGTCGCGTCCCGCGCCGGCAGTTGGTTTGCATGCCTGATGTTTCGACTTGCCCCTAAACGTTGTGCAACCTGTGATGACAGTCACCTCCTAAGGTTTGCGGCATTTTCGCAAGTTCTGGGCGATGCAGTCGAGACGAACCTGCATTCTGATTGATGAGACGGGATATGCGCAAGGCATCGTGAAAGGTGCTTATACACAGGGCTAGGTGAGATTTCATACCATGCCGTTTCACTAGCTGGCCGCGCTGGCCTGCAGAATGCCAGAATGTCCGCGCAGCTCGTCGCGGCACTGGGAAGACGGGAATTCGGAAGTCCTGTCATCAGCACTTGGACAGAGCCGCTACGGCCACCGCAGCAGTTATGCGTCAGGGACAGCGACAGGCCAGAGAATCTGGGCCTCGGCCAGTGGCGCACATCGCTTCAACGCAGAGACGCGCTTGGCGTTTGTTGGCGTTTTAAGTTCGGTCTTGAGAAAATAGAAGTCCGCCGTGAGGCCTCGCCTTTGAAAGCGGCCTTAAAGCTCTTTCCTTGGGCCAAGGTGTCATTCCGGCTTCAGCACCTTCAGGGCCTTCAGGGCCCCAGCCCTTTGAGGCGAGTTTCAGATTCGTGGACACCGACTGTCGGTGAAAACGGCGACTTTAAGATTTTCGGTGTGCGGTTAGTGCTTCTACAGGCTCTCCGCGGAAGCAGCTTCTCAGCGTCAGAAGCCCAGCTCTCTTGCGCTGAGCCAACCAGTGTGATTGTCGCCTGGCTTCATAGGCTCGATAGTGCTTGCCATGCGGTGCGTGTGCGTGCGAAGTCTAGCAGCTATGTTGAAGCAGGCAAGGCTGCGCTGGGCGAGAACCGCGGAGAGGCTCCACTTCGCCGCAGTTGAGCACACCGTTTCAATTCCGGGACGGGCTGTGGAGTTGGAGGTTCTGGGTCTTTCTGTGGAAGGGTCATGATGACAGGGCTCGTCATCTGCTGTGGACCCTTTCGGAGCTGCAGCCCTCATCCGTGTAAGTACTGAGAGGTCCGGCGACTAACATCCGCGACTCCCTGACGGGTCCGGTAATGGGTCGCCGAAGCGCCACTGTGGCTGCAGCAGCCAGTTCTACAAGTTTTTCTGGACTCCCACATCCTTCAATGCATGCTGTCCTTGAGGAAAGCCCGGCACCAGAGTACCTCTGACCTGTTTGCGGAAAGACTTCCGGGTCCTGTGTCATGTTTCGGCTGTGGCACCAGTAGAGCTCCAAAGCTCTGGCGGTGATGTGTCAGGCCAAGCATGTCCCTGGCTAAGCAGCTTGCGAAGCCGACTTGTGCAACTACGAGACTTGCTCGGTGATGAAAATCACTTCTGTCACTTCTGTGGTCCCAGGGATGCCAAGCCAGCGAGATCAAGTTCCTTGGAGCCTCCACCTAAAGGCCGGACCCTATAATTACAATTACGATTGTGTACAAATATAAATATATGTATGTATTCACGCGCACACACACACACATGCACACGCACACGCAATATATACCTATGTGCACACACACACATATATATATATGCACATATGTGTGTACACATGTTTGCACATGTGTCTGTATGAATTTTATGAGTGTATGTATGCATGCATGTAAGCATGTAGGCACATATGCATGTTACGGAGCACATGCTCCTCTTCTCTCTTAGACACCAGTGTGGTCAACACCATTCCAGCCTCCAGCCCAGCATCAGCACCGCCACCGGATTCAGCAGAACAATCAGCACTGACACCAGCACTAGCTAGCGATATTACGAAAACAGCCCCATGATGAACATCACCACCACCAGCACCGCCGTCGCCGGCAGCTGCATCATCATCTTAGTCCCTATCCTGCTTTGCCTCCTCCTCCTCGTCGTCGTCCCCCTCCTCCTCCTCCTCCTCCTCCTCCTCCTGCTCCTCCGCCTTTCCCTCACTGCACCACCATCACCACCATCATCATCGTCGTCTTCGTCATCGACACGAGCAGCATCATTGTCATCATCATCGAGTTTATTCGCAGAACCCTCCGCATCATTCCAATGCAGAAGCCAAAAGTTCCAGGACTCACCTTCATCCTCAGTACCTGCTCAATTCAAATATCATATATACACATGGGATAGACATGCACGTGGGCAGATGGGTGCACCATGTTCAGGTGGGTCCTCGCGAAGGAACGAGCCATCAGCTTAGCCTGGCAAGGAGACACCGCACACCGCACTTGTACTGTCTGTCAAGCCCTAGGACTGGCTTGCTGCATGGTGCGTGAAGTTTGTAATAGGAAGTGTAGCGCAGATTTCCATGGAAGTAGCATAGTCGAGAGTCTGTAGTGGATGGGAGCTGAAGATTACAAGCAGAATGGCCAATTCTTAAGAGTTGTTTGCCAGGAGTCGAAAGCAGAAAACCAGTCCCCGCTTTGCGATCATAGCAGGGCATAGTCCACCAGCAAGACCAGCTGACCAGCAACTGTTGAGGACCGACACAGGGCAGTAGCAAGTGCCAAAGCCCTTGTAAGAGAGTCGTCGTAGCCTCGCAGCAACGCCCGTCATTGGACACGTGGCCGAGGTCTCCTTCCATGCGGCCCGAGTCTCCGATGCGGTCAGGCTGGCCTCGCCCACCTTGCATGAAACCTGGAGCCTGTAGCAGAAGTTTGTGAAACAGCTTCCAGCCTGCGACATGTCTGTTCTGTAGTCATTATCCGCGTAATCACTGCAGTACGCCCCGGGCCTGGACTGTGCGAGAAATGAGAGGTTCATTATAACTAGAGGTCTTCTTTAACATCCAGGTCCTCTCCTGCGAGTTCGTCATGGTTCGCCAAAGTATTCATGAAGATTTCCGAATCTTCCTAAATCCTACGGCGGCTCAAGGATGCCCTAACTCCTTGCAAGCAAAGCAGGAGCAACACCTTTCACCACAGGAACACTACAAGTCTACAAGCCGACTTTGTCCATAGCTGTGGCTGGCAGCGACCATGGATCGTGCTGACCTTGATCGAAGCAGCAACAGCAGGGCAAGCAGCGTGTCTGGAAGGTCTGTGCATTCTGCCTGAAGCTGGAACTCCCTATCCCCGGAAGAGACGAGCTGGCAAGTGACCTGCAGTCAAGGAAGTTCCTCCTAGAGTCGCACGCGAACTCTTATGGCGCAGGAAGCAACAGCAGCAGCATCAAGTCACAGCCTTGTGACAGGCTGCAAGATGCAGTCTCGGCAGACTCAGGCATCCTCACAAGAACTGCCCGTTCCGGCATCGTTGCCCCCGCAGCTGCACGATCTACAGCAGACTCCGGAAGGTCCGGAAAAGAGAGATGCTTAAATGCACGCAGTGGCTCTCCCGGAAGCAGTGGGAAAAGACAGCCTCCGGAAAACCTTATCCGAAGCCTCACCTATAGCTCAAGTTCCTTCCGTTCGGACGACAACCAACAGGTCAAGGATCTGCAGGCGAAGAATCCAAACGCTGGAAGCAGCCTTGCGGTCAAGGGATGCTCAGGCAACACGGACGATAGCACGCTGCGCGGACATGGACAACCGGAATCAAGAGCGGATGACGGCGATGGAGTCGCAGCTTGCAGATGCAGGCTAGGAAGAAAGCGGAAGACGAGCGTGATGCTGCGTGGAAGTGAAGGAAGTGAAGGCTGCGGGCGACAAGGCCAAGAGTGCGTCCTCTCTAGCTGCCGCGAACGAAGACCTGTTTGAGCTTCAAGACAGGGACCGAAAGAAAGAGGCAAAAGCTGCTGAGGCACACGTCGAATTCGAGACAGCTCGCTGTGATCTACGCCAAAGCTCCTTCAGAGTCGCGTCAGGCACAAGGAGAAGGGTCGTGCGGCAGGGGGCGAGGGGAGAGCAGGCAGGGGCATGCTGGAGATTATAGAGGAGGAGGAGGAGGCGCAGTGCACCTTCGAGGACCTGATCATCGAGAAAGCCACTGCCAGAGCAGATGCCATTTTCAGTGGACTGGATCTGATTGGAATGTCCTCCTTTTCAGTGCTCCAAAAGAGATGTAATGCAGCCATGATCAGAAGAATGATGCTGGTGAGCGAGTCTATGGCCGACAGCAGTCAATCTGATGTCCCGTCCTTCGTCGCCAAGACGCTTGGCAGATTCTCAGTGCTCGGCGTTGCTGGACAAGCACTGGACCTTGTCCTATCAATGGCTCACTTGCCAGCTGACTCTCCAAGTGCTTCTGGACCTGACGGTCGCCACATCGTCCTGCCTGGTGATGTCTGAGCAGCAGCAGCAGAAGCGCGGAGGTGGAGTTTCTGTGGCCCGCAGCGATATTTGCCCCAGTGACAGCGTCAGTGTGCGCAAGCGTCGGCCGCAATTCATGAGCAGCGATCTTCAGAGGACCAAGCTTAGAGCATCTTATTTTTCGAGGCAGATTCTCGGATGTCCGCCGTCTCCGGCGGACATTCTTCCCCCGCGTAACTCGCTGGCTTAATACGATCTGGCGTGTTTCAATGCAATGGCTTCACCGAATTTTGTCAGAAGCAGGCATTTAAGAGGGGGTTGCTGGCGGAGTTTCTCAGGTCCCCCAACTGCGCCTGCATTGCCGAGTTGCGAGAGTCTAAATTCTGCCTGTGCGAGCGCGCGGGTCGAAACCTTAAGTTCTAAATTCTAATGTTGCTGCTCCTGTAGCACTAGACTGTACCGTGCAATGAGGGCTCGTCCTCGCTAGGTGGGAGGCAACAAAAATTTCTGAACCCTAACCTTCCTAGCACAAATCCCGGCTCGGCTCTGCTGCGTTCCGACCGCTGACGAGGCAAAGAGCGCGGCTCCTCGCCTGGACCGAGCCAAGAGCTTGGCAGTTTTGGGGCCGCTATTTACATACATGCAAAGAGAGACGCATGTGAGGGTGTGTGTGTTCTTATGGACTTGGACGGACGGACGCCTTCAGTAGTCTGTCATTCTTCCGGCAAACTTCTACCAGTCCGGCTGGGGATCTCGCTAGGGCAGGATGCCCCATGTTACAGGAGACACCGTCTATAGAGTCATAGGACAGTGCAGCTTCTGGATGCACGTAGAGTGCAGCGATGGTCAATCGGCATGTCTGAAGCCGTGCCGATAAGCAGCAAGTGTGATATATATATATACATATATATATAGATAGATAGATAGATAGATAGATAGATAGATAGATTGATTGATGCATTTTGTCCGTAGATCATAACCGTCATCGTGACTTGAATCCCGTGTGTGTCATGGTCGCAGTGTGAGACGCGAAATCTAAGCTGGGCTACTGGGCAGGCCGCTATCCGACGACTGTTTCCCAGAGTGCAGGACCACAAAGCAGCCTCCTCAGTTCATTCCATGCCTGCAGCAATTGAAAGGCACGTGGCGGACTGTGTGCACGAAGCACAGGCTTTGGCTTTACTTTGGGGGCCGCGCGAGCAACGAACCCTGGACCTTCAACCGCGGGCTGCGGGGTCAGCTCCCTTCATTTGATCAGCCCTGCCATGTCTGAGAAGCTCAGCTCACATGGGGCACAGGCCCGGGGCATGGGCGCTTTCCGCAGTGGTGGTCCGGCCGGAAGCCGATGTGACGCGTTGTCACGAGCCTCGTGGCGTGGCTCATGAAGCCGAGAGGACGCCCTGCGCATTGAGGTTCGAGTGAAAGCAGATTTGATCGGAGACGCTGCTCGTCTCGCCTACATGTTTGTGCAGCTCCGCACTGTGTATGCTGTAGTGATGATCTCAGTTGGGTAGTGGACCTTCAGGCGGAGCAGGCATGACGCCGTACTGCCGTGACTCCACTCGCCCTAGTGGGCAATCCTTCCCATGGCTCTGGGCGGTGATCTTCGGTGGTTGAAGTCCATAGCTGTTGAGGCCTTCTGACGTCTCAGCCTCCTGACGTGAGCCTGAGGGGCCGAAGATGCACAAGACCTTGAGGAAACATCAAAAACTAGGCAGAACGAGTTGTCCGCTTGGCAGGTCCCGGCCGGAGTCGACCCTCCACCGCGCCGCCACCTGGGTGCAGAGCCCCAGCGACATCGTCACAATGCTTCGGTACTTGGGATTTGGGTTTTGAGCTCAGGGTTCTGAGCTCAGGCTCTAGAACTCGTACTCTTCAGGGCTTGGGGCTGCCAGGTCCTGGATCTGCCGATGTTGCTGGGACTTTCAGTTCTGGAGGTTGTGGGTTTGCGACCTCTCTTCCACCCCTTTTTTTTGAGCTCAGTTGATCTTGGAGACCACTGCGCTGTTCTGTGACATGTCATGTGATTCGTGGTGCCTTGTAGAGCTTCGCACTGTCGCAGATCGGGACAGCGCAGCACAGCAAGTGTTGATTGCGGAAGTAGGAATTAGTCCCAGTTTGAAGCTTGGAGTAACGCCACGAGCGGCAAGCTCTCTTCCTGGTGGGAGGTCCGCATCGACGCCCATCAGATCTGGATCACAGCGACGGCCGGTTTGGGCCCCGGGGAGGGCATCGTCTGCTTCAAGCTCGAGCATGTCAGTGGGTGCACAAGGGCCTGCCGTACGAGTGAGGCATCGCCGAGTGCAGGTCAAGTGCGGCCCCACCCTTGGATCAAGTCGGGGTGCGGAGTCTAGCTGCAGCTAGAGTCAAGTGTGACATGCAGCAATCGGAGGTCAAGTTCGTCCTCACGGCCACCATCCCCGTACTGTCCTTATCGGCCTTTTCTGGCCAGACTTTGTGGGAAAAGAGAAGAAGCGCAAGACAACGAGGACCAATGCTCGGAGCTCCCCCGTCCCGGCAACAAAGTATGTCGCTTTCTCGGAGCTTCCGTGGCCTTTCTGCTCATGTTCAGTCCGTGGCCTACAGTGACGCACAAAGGCTCCGGGGCACTCCTACCCGGGGTCTGGGAGCTCGCCGTTCGAAAGGTCTGACAGGGCCGGCGTTTAGGGAGCAGAGCTGGCGAAGGAATTTGTTTCCGGAGACGACAGCCGTCCAGCACAGTCGCAGGTCCAATCAGCGTTCCATGACGGCCCACCTGCGCCGGGCCCCCTCGCCGACCCCAGCGTCAGGGGCCAAAAAAAAACCGTCTCCTCCAAAGGAGCAAACACCGCTTCGGCTTTTGGCTTACTGCGCTCCGGACCGAGGTTTAACACCGGCCGCTCCTCTTCCGCAAAGCCTCGATGGCGCTCCTAAGAGAGGCGCGACGAGGGCCTGTGACTCTGGGGCCTGTGGGTTTAAGGTTTAGGGTTTAGGGTCTGTCCAAAGCTGTGTCCTCCCACCCGCGCCTTTTCCAGCCAACGAGAGTCCCGCACATTGAGGCTACAGGCTTCATGTCGTGAAGGGGGGAAGCCAAGCAGTACTTGTAGGGACCAGCGGTGCCAAACCTGTTTTTGTCATGGTTTACATCGAAAGTTGAGGTCTCTGCAAGACTCACTCTGCCGCCTGGTTTCTCAAACAGCCTTCTCGTCGTTGCTGTATGCTCTATAGGAAGTTCAGCAACTCTTGCAAGATGTTCCGACAGCCCTTCGGGCTTACCAACCTTCGCCAACAAAAAAAAAATATATATTCTCATATTCGGATGGATAGTGCACCGATCCACTGCAGGAGCGCTTTCGCAGTATTTCGCACGAGCCCATGTCGGTGGCCCTAACCCCCTGCTCATTTTCTGTGAGGCACGTGGACCTGGGAGGTGCTGCAGATGTGCATCAGTAATCAGCTCCCACCTGTCCGGGCTGTTCTCGATGAGAGGATCTGGGATCAGACTTATTCCCTCTTGCAAGCTAAGCTGGCTGAGAACAGCCGGGAAGCAACGGAGAAGCCGGAACTGGAAGTGAGCCGACTGGACCCCTGAAACGCAAAAAGACTTCGCTCTGTCTGACTTAACTTCCAAGAGTCGCAACTCTGTTTGGAGCTCCCGAAGCTGGCGCCTGGGCCTAGGCATCCTAGGCCCAGAGGGCGCCAATCGTCGTTTTCAAAGGCTCGGTTTCACACCCGGCTCGGGGCACCAGAGACACCGACTGCCGGCGGAGAACCCTGTCTGAGAGTCAATGACGTCGCTCGGTAACATCGAATGCATAGCGGTCACGGTGGTGATCGAGACAGAAGGCTCAAAGACAGGACGAATCCATTTCTGCAGATGCCTATGGAAAATTATCCATTACAACAATTAGCCTGAGAGACCTCGAGCTGTAATGCATCTGCACGGCCAGAAACACCAAGCTGCGCTTCCGATGAGTACCATGATACATGCACCAGCCTGACACGACTGCTTGTTGATGTGTTGTTTACGCAGCGTCTGAGTTCGCAGGGGCACAGTACGCGCGGTATTGCTATTCGGCTATTAAGTGACGGCAAGCGCACCTGCGATCTTCTTGCTATTTTGTCTTGTGGCGATCGTGGCACAACGTCGCAATGATAGAGGAGGCTGGTAGTTACCAGTAGCAGTAGATGCGAGTGGCCCGTCATGACAGCCGAAATTGCCGACAGGACGAACACTCGGAAGAGAAGTTGCATTCACAAGATAGACCCGGAAGGGATGTTACTGGCATCCGTGCATGAGCCGGCGCATGCGATTTTTCTTGTTGACTCGCAGGAACTGGGTTGAAGCCGGCCATACGATGATGTTGCAGACGGCTGCTTTGTCTCCTGAGAGGCCTTGATGAAGGCGGAATTCTGAAGAAACTGTCGGTACGTCCAACGTACGTCCAACTAAAAGACACACAGTTACCTACTTCAAGTTCTAGCTTCCGTTGTCGTGGTGTTCCTTGGTGGCACGGTCGTTACTGCGAGGACATTGCGTAATGGAAAGACCGATCATGCTGACAATGATAAAGTTGCGATGGATGGTGGTGCAGATTGGTGTCGATGGTGGTGGCCGCGGTGGTGGACAAGTGTGAGGCGGAAGAGAAGGAAACGGAGGAGGAGGAGGAGGAGGATGCGATGCCACTTTGGATGTTGATGCTGCGATATTGATGACACGGATGACGTTTGCCATGGCTGAGCAGAGATGGTTGCAATGTAGCGGAGATGGGAGAGGAGCATTAGAAAGGCACAATTAGGCACTCAGGCAGCTCTTGGTGCGACCAGGATGCAGCCGGGCGGATGCGCTGGCACCCAGAAGCCAGCATCCGCGAAAGTTTTCTCAACCTGCAGGCCTTCAAACCCAGCACTCTGAAAAAGACTTTTGGACCATACCGGCTCAAGCAATTGGTCGAACTTCCTGGCTGCTGCAGCTTCAATCGCACAACCTCTCTTGCTAGCCATGGCATCCTGCGTCGCTGGCTTGACCTTGGCACTCCTGGGTCTGGCTGCGGCTGCGGCCGCCGAGAGCTGCAGCTCCACGGC